TGTCCTAAATGCTGTATCTAGGTGATGAAGAAGAAATTCATCTGGAATGTGAAGTTAATAGAATCCTTCCATGTGTTGTTAAAATACTTTTAATGTGAAATTTCATGTGTCATTTATTCGGTACCTATTTAAATTCAATTGTAAATTTTCTCCTTGTTCCTTACCTTAGTGAGGCACCATGCCTTATAATCTCAATCCTTTGCTCAAAACCCTTTTTGAGCTTTCTTCTACCTACAGAATGCAGTTTAAACTTTTTAAAGTGACATTTAATTATCTGGTCTAGGCCTACCTTTCCCCTTAGGCAGTAACCTCCTACCTAGTTGCTTTGTCATTCTACTCCTAATTTTCTTTTATTTCTCTTTTTCATTGTTTCTGTTAGCAGTATACTCTTGTTTCCCAAACTGTGTGCTCCTAAGTTTCCTAGGGTGCTATAACAAACCCACATAGTCTGCAGGATATATAAAGTTTCAAGGGAAACCCAGTGACATCTTTCAAATATGGCATGTACAACTAGCTCTAGATATTTCAGTTTTTCCTTTAGATTGCTACTTTCCTTTCATTGGCATCATACGTACATTGCAAAACCTTTTTCTTTTTTCGTGGGGTGACTATGATAAAAAGTAAATTCTGCACAAAAATCAAGGTGAAACAGGAAATGAGAGAGGTGATATCCAGTCTGATTCTGAGCTTAAAAGTTTTGTAGTACCCAAGAGGCACTAAATTTTAGGAAATAAATATAATAAATACTTTTGGTTGGAACTAATTGGTTAACAAGTGGTATTTTTCCCCAGGGGCACCATGGTAATGTTATTAAAACAGGAAAGGAGGTAAGTGCTATGATGTGTGCCTCTACTTCCTTTCTAGTTCATAATTGCTTCTGTAAAATTAAACCTTCCCTTAAGTACTGGGGATTGAACCCAGGGCCTCATGCGTGTTAAATAATTGCTCTACCACTGAGCTGTATTCCCAGCCTTTTTTTTTTTTTTTAATATTTTTTTAGTTGTAGTTGGACACAATATCTTTATTTATTTTTATGTGGTGCTGAGCATTGAACCCAGTGCCTCACAAGTATGAAGCGGGCGGTCTACACTGAGCTACAGCTCCAGCCCCGAGCCTTTTTATTTTTTACTTTAAGACAGCATCTCACTAAGTTGCCAGGGCTGGCCTTAAACTTGCCATCCTCTCGCTTCAACATCCTGAGTACCTGGCGCGTGCCACCGTGTCTTACTAGATAGACCAATTTTTGAGTGTAAATCACATGATCAAAAGTAAAGGTCCCATTCTGTCAGTGTCTTGCTACCAAAAATAGCTAAAATGTCAGCTAGTTTCCTGTGCTGAAATATTTAATGGTGAACTTATAACAAAACCTGCTGAATATTTCTTCTGTTTATCTATTTTTGTGATTATTTATTGATACTTTGTGTTTATTGGTTTGTAATGTAGGCATTTTAATTCATTTAAATTCTGATTGCAGAGTAACTAATAACTCAGTTTAAAAACAGCATAGAGTTCATATAGCTCTTTGTCCAGACTGTAGTTGGAACCTATAAACTCTCTGATTACAGATATGCTAGATTACTTATAATGGCTCCACATTCATTTCACAGGAAGTTTACTATTATTTTAATGGCAAGTAAATGTAATGTAATGTAACCATGGTATAAGTTGCTTTTAGGTTTTTTGGTTTTGGGATTTTTTTTTTTTTTTTAAGTATAGTAGACCTTCTTATCAATGGGGGATTTGTTTCAAGCTGCCCACTGGATCCCTCAACTTACAAATAGTAATGAACCCTAGGTATACTACATTTTGTCTATGTATACATACTTATGATCAAACTTAATTTATAAATTGGGCACAGCATTAGAGCAACAATAATAACTAATGATAGAAAAGTTATAGCAATATACTGTAAGAAAATGGCCAGTGTCACTACTCTTATATTTGGGGCTGTCATTAAGTAAAATAGAGGTACTTGAACACAAGCACTGTAATACCAAAACAGTTGATAAGTAACTCAAAAGAGGTAATATAGATAATGTGGATATGGTAAACAAAAGTGTGATTCATGACCTGATTGGAACAAAAAGTGTAGAGGGTGATGGCAGAGGATCATGCTACTCATAAGAGTTTGTCTTTTAAAACTTGTGAAATGTTTATTTCTGGAATAAATAATTATATTAGTCAACTTTTAAATGTATAGTTCAATAGTGTACAGTTTCTTTGGGTTACTGTAGAGCAAGTCTCCAAAACTTTTTGACTTGCATCATTGAAACTCTATACCTACCAAACATTTAATTCCCCTCCTCCTTAGCCCTTGTCCTTGCAAACTTCTTTGCTCCTTTCTGACTATGAGTAGAATCATAAAATATTTTCCTTTAGTGACCTTATTTCACTTAGCAGAATATTCTTGAGGTTCATCCTTTTTGTTGCATATGACAGGATGGCCTTATTTTCTAAGATTGCATAATATTCTGTTATTTATATATATATTATATATATAATATATATGTAATACCTAATTTTCTTCATCTCTTTTTCTATTGATGAATATTTGGATTACTTTCACCAGTTGGCTATTGCAAGTACTCCTATAATGAACTTGGCTGGGCAGACATCTCTTTTTAGATTCTGCTTTCAATTAACATTGCTTGATTATATGTTAACATCTTTCTTCTTATTTTTTGTTAAGGAACTTCCTTCACTATTTCAGAGTGACTGCACCATTTCACATTTCCGCCCTTACTGCATAAAGGTTCCAATATCTCCACTTCCTCACTAATATTTATTTTCTACTCTTTTCATAGTGGACATTCTGGTCAGTGTGAAATGAGGTCTCACTGAGGTTTTGGTTTGCATTTCCCACATCATTCATTAGTGATGTTAAACTTCTTTACATGTACTTATTGGCCCATTGTGTGTATGTGTACAATACATACATATAATACATACTTGAGACCTGTCTATTAAAGTCCTTTGACCATTTTTTAATCAGGTTATTTGTTTTGTTGTTTTTGAGTTACAGGAGTTCCTTATCTATTCTGGATATTAACCTCTCATCAGATGTATAGTTTGGAAATAAGGTGCCTTTTCACTTAATTGGATTGTCCTTTTCTGTTCAGAAGTACTTGAATTTGTTTTACCCACATTTGTCTATTTTCCTTTTTGTTCCCTGTGCTTTTGTTGTTATGTTAAGAAATCATTGCCAAATCCAGTGTCCTGAAGCTTTCTCATTTGTTTTTAAATAATATATGTTCTTGATTTTTATTCTTTCTTTAAATCATTTATTTACTTTTAAAAATCTTGTTTTGTTGTAGGTGAACACAATACCTTTGGTTTATTTATTTATTTTTATGTGGTGCCAAGGATCAAACCTAGTACCTTACATGTTCCAGGCAAGCACTCTGCCACTGAACTACAACCCCAACCGTATATTTATTATTAAACCTTACTTTTTAGAAAATATTTTTCTGATTTCACAAAATATCCTAGAAATTGTTTCATATAGATGGATTGTTTTATAGAGTGTTTTCTTGTTTTATTTGGGTTTTGTTTTTATCTACTTTTTGTTTGTGATGACTATGTGGTATTCTACTGAATGGATTTATCCTAGTTTATTTAGGCAGTCTTCTATAGATAGACTTTTAGGTTGCTGTAACTTTTTGCCATGACAAATAGTATCTCAAGGAATACTATATTATTTTATACTATATTATTTTATATTTGTGTGTGTCTCTTCAAGGTAAATCCCTAAAGATGAGATTGCTGGTCTTTATGCAGTTACTCTCTCTCACTCCTATAGCTTTTTTTTTTTTTTATCTTCTCTCATCATTGCTTTACCTCTCAAATATACATGCATTATATTCTTTTTTTTTTTTTTTAAGAAATGAATGTCATTTATTGGATATGCAAACTTTTTTTTTTTGTACCAGGGATTGAGCTCAAGGACATTCAACACACCTTATTTTGTATTTTATTTAGAGACAGGGTCTCTCTGAGTTGCTAAGCGCCTTGCCACTGCTGAGGCTGGCTTTGAATTCGAGGTCCTCTATCTCAGACTCCTGAGCTGCTGGGATTACAAGCATGCACCACCAAGCCTGGCACATGCATTATATTCTAAATATTTGATAATATGTTTCAATGTTGATACTTTTTACATGCATTATCCATATATAAAGTAGTACGTTACTTATATACAGAGTGTTTTGCTGACTATATTTAAAATAAACAATGGTGACTTTAGAATCACAAAAGCATGAGAGCTCTCAGGGAGTTGAGCTAATTATGCAAGAGAGTTCAAATCACTGAAAAAGCATGCATCATAAAAGAATTCCATCATCATTCTTTTATAGCAAAAAAATGTTTGAGATTTTAAAAGCATTTAGTAGATATGAGCATATTTTACAATAATTTATATTTGAAGGATCATTATAAGAAGTACTACAGTAGTGACAACCACAGCTAATATATGTTGTTTACTCTGTGGTTGATATTCTGCTCAGCAATGAATATGCTTTGGCTTATATTATTTCAATTAATCTTTGACAACTTTATAAAATGTATTTATAAAATATCTCCATTTTATAGGTGAGAAAAGTGAGGCATAGACATGTTAAGTGACACATATTCTTGCTTATACAACTCATGACAGAGGAAGATTAAACCCCCAGGAAGTCTTCAGAGAAGTTTCTGGGCTTTTTATGATGGTGCTATGCTACTTAACTTACTATTATTTTTTTATACCAAGCCAGCATTTGACGATATGACTTTTACCTCTGAGTCCTTAAACCAGTATATTTCATTATACTCCCCTAAAGTAGTAAGATTTTGCATTGCTGATGTGTCAAGTTTGTTATCATAAGCAGTAGTACAGAATTGAAATTCCATTCATAACAGCCAATTTCTCACAAAGCATCCCTTTTATGCCACTAACCATGGTGGAATACTGAACTATGTGTACCATTTTTATGACCCATTAAATTATTTATGTTCCTATTTTTCAGTGGATGATTCAGCAGCCGCACAAAGCAGCAACATTTTTTGGATGCATTGGGATAGATAAATTTGGAGAGATCCTGAAGAGAAAAGCTGCTGAAGCTCATGTGGATGCTTATTACTATGAGCAGAATGAGCAGCCAACAGGAACTTGTGCTGCATGCATCACTGGTAGCAACAGGTAGGTTGGTGTAATTTCAGTGGAAACTGATAATAATTGGCTGTGTAAACACTGATGACATCTGAATTCCAATCTGAATTTGGAATTTAGACTTCATGTTTATAATTTCTTTAAGTGTTCAGTAAACCCTTCTTCTTTATATTATTTCTGCCTTCTGCATTTTTCAGTTTACTTTTGTTAACCCTGCTGTTGAATTCATGAGGCATAATGGAGTTTGGTCTTTTATAATTAGGCTCAGGAAAGAAAAATATTTTGCTCAACTTCTCATAGCTAGATTAGATAAGTAGGATGATCTTTTCACCATAACCTGAGATTGGAATCTCAAAATCCATGCATACATGTGTTGTGTATATATGTGTGTTTGTATTTGTGCATTTTACATATATAAAGTACTACATTATATCCAGTTTCAAATGAACTGGGTCATATAAAACATTGTTGAAAAATAGTCAACTGTCCATATTAAACAATTTTACTTATGGGTACTTTGCCACTCCAAGTATATTTTTATACAGGTTTATTTACTAGAAAATTCTCCAGGTGAACTTGTAATATATCTCTCAGGGCCTTCCATGCATTTGATTTGTTCTTTTGTAGCTACATGGCAATATTCCTTCAGTATATGCATGTATTGCTAAAATAATTCCCATATTAGCATAGGTATTTTTCCCCCTTGCAAGGGAAACCTACAGTAACTTTCCTAACTATGATATTGTTAGAATTGTCTCTTTTTAAATAGTGATTTGCTAGAAATTTTGCATTCTTGGCAGTTGGAAATATTTAGTCTCTCCTCCTCCATTCCTTTTTTCTTCCCACTCTCTTCTTTCCCTCCATTTTTAATTGCCCCATGAACACACTTTCTTCAATCCCCTTTATTGCTGCTTTTATTTTGGCTTGGCTGCCTGCCTGACCTCCAGCAGATGTTTATTAAGAACCTGATGCTATTCTGTGTACTAAGGATCAGTATGGATAGTAGTTACAAAATAAATAAAATATGACTTTCAAAAAATAATTAGAGCGCCAATGCTGTTTTCAGAGCTTCTCTTTAACTTTCATTTTGTGTGCAAAACTTGATGGTGTTAAAATTTCAATATATTGAGCAATCCAGTATTCACACATTGAAATATACTCATTTACACTTTTACCCTTTTCACTTTTTCTAGAAGAAATATTAATCTGCAGATGCACAGTTTCCCCATTCATTAGAAATGGGTTAAGTTTTGCCTCTGACACCACTCAAGCAAGAGTTAAAATTGCTAAATTGTTTTTGTTTGCAAAATTTCTATTTTAAAGAACAGTTATGATAATATTAGGTCTCCAGATGTTGAATGCTTAAATTATATATTAATTTTATGGTTATGGAGATCACTATTATTCAGCTGATATGGGTAGTCAGAAACAGGTGCAAGTGGATCTCTTTCTATCCAGTTGATTATTCAAATTCTGAAACCCAACAGTGTTGATAAATTATATTAGATCAAGCTGGTAACCTTACTGCCACTATATAAAACTCAAAATTCAAAAAATAATTTTATTATTAAACAAAGTTTAGTACTTGATACCAGAAGTGCTTAAGCATTTGCTTTTCTTTCCCCCTCCTTTTTGGTACTCAGCATTGAACTCAGAGGTGTTTAATCACTGAGCCACATCTCCAGCCCTTTTTTGTATTTTGTTTAGAGACAAGGTCTCACTAAGTTACTTACGCCCTACTAAATTGTTGATGCTGCAATTGATCTGGCAATCCTCCTGCCTCAGCCTCCAGAGCCATTTACAGCACTCAGTGAAATGTCTATTGTTATTTGGCATCCATTTTTACCAAAACTTTTCTAAAGTCATAGTTATTAATATATTTTTATATATTAAGAGTGTGTTTAATCCCCAGCACCAAAAATACAACTATTTTTATAAGTTTGCAGTATACTTACTTTGCATGAGTATATTGATTCATATTTCTTTCTCATTTTTTTTCATTTAATTGAACATAAAGAGATGCATATGGATGAATGGAAATATGTTTTGGAATAGAATATTTTTCCTACTTTCAAATAATTAGGTGATTGTTTTATATACCATACTGTTATTATTTTAGTAAGAGAAAAATTGGCAAGGAATTTTCTAAGTTCCAGGTCACACTGAGGAAGAAAACTATTTATTTCTATTTATATGAAATGTATATAATTTTTTTATTTCATTAAGTTTGTTTATTGGGCTATAAATAAACGATCTAGGTGGCACTTGTAGCAATATTTTAAATACAGAATCCTGCTTAGATTTTCCAGCTATAAAGTGGACCCAGCTCAGAGAGTTTTTAAGTATAGAAACTAATTCTAATTGATTCCAGTCCTTAGAATGTACTGGTTTGCAAATTAATTCCTCTTAGTAAATATGGTCTACATTAATATGTCTGTTTTATGAAATTAATCTCATGCTTGTTTTTTAAAGTATTAAATTGTCAATTATAGTATGTTGGTCTTATTTTTATGAAGATATTTTCCACTATAAAAAGTGAAATTTGAGGGCCTAGAGGCATAGTTTGGTGGTAAAGTGCTTGTCTAACAAGCCCGAGGCCCTGTGTTTGACCCCCAGCACTGCTAAATAAATAGTTTTTGGTTATAGGGATTTCTTTTTGCAGAATGACTTTGTAGGCTTTTTTCTTAACTGCATTTTGAACTATTAAATATAAATAGTAGATGTTATTTTAGTATCGAGGAAATTTAAATTCCACTTTCTCAAAATACCAAGTGGTGTTTTGAAGGGTTATCATATCTTTTTATCTCAAAGAAAACATAGAAGTTTCCAAGTTTTCAAAACAAAATTAATAGTGTTTGCATTCATAAAAATATCTAATGGAAGTATTTAAGAATTAAAATTTTGTAAATTGGAAATTTTGCAGGAAATATTAATATTTAACTATTCTAAAATACCTGACCAGTTTGAATATGATGTATGCTTTTTCTTTTGTTGTTTTAGGTCCCTTGTAGCTAATCTTGCAGCTGCCAATTGTTACAAAAAGGAAGAACATCTTGATCTGGAGAAAAACTGGATGTTGGTAGAAAAAGCAAGAGTTTGTTATATAGCCGTAAGTATTTATTTAATGCAAATTGTGGGGTTGGACTATCATGATAGATTATAGTTGTTGGCTGATATGCATTTTTAAATAATTATCTTTTACTTGTCCTATAAATTATTTACCCATCTCAGAGTATACATTTGGTTCACCATTATAAATACGGAGCATAAATACTATCTTTCTCTGTAAGTAGCCTAATTTGTATTATTTACCTGAAATTCTACCTCTTTATAGATACATTATTCATAGATATTTAAAAACCAAGCACAGAATTTTGTACTATTAAGTCAGTTTCTTTAGCTCTTTTGAAGTAATTCTACAACTTACATTTTACATTTTTAAGGCAACTTGTAACAAGTGACTCATGCATTGTGTGGGAAAATGTTAGTAACATAAATATTCATTGCAAACAGTTTGAGTTTATTTGCCTAAAAAATCTTAATTGCTATTTATTCCATAGTAATTACCATGACATGTTTTAATTTAATATTTCAGAAACATTGATCGTGACAAATCTCTTAAATCCAGGAATAAGGGCAGCATGTAATTTGAATTATTAAGTTCTCTGACATAAAAATAATTGGTTAAGAATTAATTTCTAAAATAGAACGATACTAAAAATGCTCCTGAATTAATCACCCCATGATTACCTTGTTTTTATTTAATATGAGTTAAATGGGTTGCTCACAAATAAGTAGATACCTATGAAAAATTAAAAGCACCTCATATGCATATAATATATGGTTTTGGTTAAACAGCTGCTGCCATTGCTCTACCTGAGCTGTGTGAAACAGCTGGTAAGACGTGTAGAAAATTGATTATCCAGTAAGAACATGTTTATTGAAAATATAATTATTTTTTTCAGTCTAGTGTTAATGTCTCCTACACCATATTTATGTGCACTGCTGTAGGCTTGTAAAGTATTGTTATTGATTCCTCTGCACAGCATATCCTACCCCTTCATAACTGTTATATAAATGCTTACATTGAGAAGATTGTATAATAGAAAGTCATATTATTTCTTCTGCCTTTATGTGAGAAAAGTATTTAAAGAATTAAAGATTTTTCCCCTTTTTATTATTTGCCTTTTATTTCATTTCTTAAAGTGGTCTGATTTTCCTTTGAGGTTTTGGTAAGTGTGTTTTTCTTGTGTGATTCTTCAAGAGGGATTCATGTAATATTTTAAGCATCTTAAATTTGAGTATCTGATTTTCAGTGAGCACATGGTTTAAAGTTTGGTGTGATACATTTGTATTATTTAAGTTGACTATGAAAATGACAATGTATTCTGATGTTACTTTACTTTTAAAAGGTTCCCATTTTTTTATTTCAAATAGAATAAAAATCATAGATACAACATACGCAAACCAAAGCACATTGAGGGCCTTCATAGGTTTTAAGAAGGCAAAGGGATCCTGACATAAAAAAGACTAAGAATTAAAGTTTCTTTTGCATCTTTTGTTGTTGTTGTTGTTGTTTTTGTTATTTTTTTTAGACTTACATGACAGTAGAAGGTATTTTGACATGTCATACATACATGGAGTATAACTTCTCATCTGTGGTTGTACACGATGTGGAGTTACACTGGTCATGTATTCATGCATGAACAGAGGAAAGTTATGTCTGATTAATTCTATTTTCTTTCCCATTCCCAACCCCTCTTTCTTCCTCCCTCCTATTCCCCCCTATTTAATCCAGTGAACCTCAACTTCTCCCCGCCAACCCCATGTAACCTATTGTTAGTTAGCATCCACATATCAGGGAAAATATTTGGCCTTTGGTTTGGGGGGATTGGCTTATTTCGCTTACTTAGCATGATAGCCTCCAGTTCATCCATTTAGTAGCAAATGCCGTAATTTTATTTTTTCTTTATGGCTGAGTAATATCCATGTGTATATGTACTTCAATTTCTTTATTCATTCATCTATTGAAGGGTATCTAGGTTGGTTCCATACCTTAGGTATTGTGAATTGAGCTGCTATGAACATTGATGTGGCCATGTCACTATAGTACACTGATTTTAAGTCCTTTGGGTATATGCCAAAGAATGAAATAACTGGGTCAAATGGTGGTTCCATTCCACATTTTCTAAGGAATCTCCATACTGCTTTCTAGAGTTGTTGCACCAGTTTGCAGTCTCACCAGCAATGTGTGACTGTACCTTATCCTCCACTTACACACCAACATTTATTGTTACTTGTATTCTTGATAATTGTACTTCTGTCTGGAGTGAGATAGATTCTCAGTGTAGTTTTAATTTGCATTTATCTAATTGCTAGAGATGTCGAACATTTTTTCACATATTTGTTGACCCATCCCATTTCTTCTGTGAAGTGTTTGTTCAGTTCCTTCGGTCATTTATTTATTGGGTTATTTGGTTTGGGGGTGTTAATTTGTCTTAGTTCTTTATATATCCTGGAGATTAATGCTATATCTGAGGTGCAGGTGGCAAGGATTTTCTCCCATCCTCTTCAGGTTCTTGATCATTTCGAGTGTTGTTGAGGAATTTTGCCATAAACCAGTATGATGGAGATTTGGGCCTACTTTTTCTTTCAATAGACTCAGGGTCTCCAATCTAATGCCTGGGTCCTTGATCCACTTAGAGTTTTGTTTAAGGTGAGAGATAGGGGTCTAATTTCATTTTATTACATATGGATTTCCAGTTTTCTCAGCACCATGTGTCAAAAAGTCTATGTTTTATCCAATGTATGTTTTCGGTGCCTTTTTTTCAAAACATGGTATATATTATTCCAAAACTTCTTAGCTTTGAGGTCTGGGTTGAGAGATCAGCTGAGATCTGGATTGGTTTCCCACTAAATGTTACTTGTTGTTTTTCTCTGACAACCTTAAAAATTCTGTCCTTATTCTATATAGTAGGCACTCTCATAATAATGTCCCTTGATGTGGATCTGTTGTCATTTTTTATATTTGGGGTCCTATAGACCTCCTGTATTTGATATTTGATATTCTGTTTCATTCTTTAGGTTTGGAGAATTTTCTGATATTATTGTATTGAAACGATTGTGCATCCCTATTGTTTGTATCTCTGAGCCTTCATCTATCCCAGTAAATCTTAAATTTTGTCCTCTTGAGGGTATCTCATTTTTTGTAAGTTCTGTTCATGGTCTCTTAACATCTTTTATGCTTTGTTTTCAAGACTACGTATTTTGTCTTCGTTGCCTGAAACTCTGTCTTCCAAGTGATCTAGTCTGTTGGTGATGCTTTCATTTTAATTTTTAATTTGGTTTTTCGATTCCTTCATTTCAAGGATATCTGCTTTGTTTTGTTTTGTTAGAATCTCTGTCTCTTTTTTGAAGTTATCTTTCAGTTCCTATATTTTCTGTCCGATTTCACTCCTCATACTGTCCTTTACATCACAGATCAGTTAAACTATGTACATTCTGAACTCTTTCTCTGACATTTCTTCTTTGGTAGTGTTAATTGTTTCTGTTATTGAAGTTATCTTGTTTTGTTTGGAACAATTTGTTCCCTTGCTTTTTCATGTTGTTTGTCTACCCATCTAACAGTATGGATCTGAGGCAGTAGAGTTTCTTCGCTGTAGACTATAGTGTCCCTGAAGGTTTCTACTACTTCACTTGCTAAGAAGCTACCTGTCTGCTTTCATGCCATGGAGCAGCCAGGAAAGCTACCTTCTCTATTCTACCATCTTGAGACACCCCTCCTGCCACCCCCACCCACACACCCCCCGCAAAAAAAAAGTACTTTTAACTTGACAATTATAATTCCGTGTATTTCAATATATAGTAGTTGAATCCTAAAATATAAGCCAACTTGCAAATAACTAAGTTTTAATATTTATTCATTATAATGCATCTAGTCAACTTGGGGTCAATGTTTTTTGTTGTTGTTGTTGTTGTTTTTGTGGTGGTGCTGCTGGGGATTGAACCCAAGGCCTTGTGTATGCAAGGCAAGCACACTATCAACTAAGCTGTATCCCCAGCCCTGTCAGTGGAATTTTAATAGACATGTAGTCCCAATCTGAAAACTGCTTATAGCTTTAATGAGTGTATACTGATAAGACATCTAGGTAAGTGGAGGTGAATGGGACTTTTATGGTAGTATTACCTGTTTATACAAAAATGCAGATTTTTATAGGCATAGTGTGATTAATTTTGATCAAATTAATAAGAAAGATTATAGTTTTGAAATTTGTGTGGTATATTCAGCAGAAAGGAATATCAAAATAACTGTTAGCTCTTAGCCTCTTTTTCAGCATTTGGATGAAAGGAACACCTTTCCATGTGCCAGGTAAATGTATACTCTTCTCAGAGCTTGATATATTTCAAAATAGTTCCAGCAAGAGGAGACTTATATTAAATAACTAGGATGCCACATATTCTTGATGGATATTCAACAAATAAAGTGTCAAATTGAGTGTTATTATGAAATATTTGTCCTCAGTAATGTACTTTTCCCTGCAATATGCTGTCTAATATAAATATAGCCAACTCGGTTTACTTTTGATTATTGATTTCATGGTATATCTTTTTTTCTCTTCCACTTTTAATGTACTTTTGTCTTTATTTTTAAAATGCAATTCTTATAGACAGCATATACTTTAGTCTTATTTTTTGCTCAAGCTGACAATGTCTACCTTTGAATTGGAATGGTTATACCATTTCTGTTTAATGTGTTTATCAATATGATTAGATTTGAGTTCTTCATCTTGGTATTTGTATTTGGTATTTCTCCTCTTTATTCTATTTTTCACTTTCCTCCCCTCTTTTAGGTTATTCCAGTATTTTTCAAAATACTTTTTTAGTTGTCAGTGAACCTTTATTTTATCTATCTATCTATCTATCTATCTATCCATCCATCCATCCATCCATCCATCCATCCATCCATCCATCCATACATTTATGGTACTGGGGATTAAACCTAGGGCCTCACATATACCAGGCAAGTACTCTACTACTGAGCCATATCCCAGCCTCTATTCCAATACTTTTATCTCCTTTGTTGGCTTAGTATTTTTTATTATTATTTTA